TATCTGAATCTTATTGTGATGGCATGACTTCTTCATTCCATGTTGCCAAGCATCAATAGGGGATTGCTTCGGCTCAATCGTGGACTAGTGTATGTAGCCTAAGGCGGGCTTTGCATCTCCACCAATCGAAGCGCTTTCACCAAAAGGCAAGAAATTTGTAAGCAATAGTAGCATTGGGTCCAAAAGGAAGTACTAAAAACAATTTTCTCTGCTTTTCTCCCAAATTGATACCTTGACCACCTATTTCTAGTCCACTTCTCTAAAGTGAACATGCTCCTTAGGCCATCTTTTTACTTACATAGGCTTTGAATAGTGATAAATGCAGTGGCAAATCTAGTGACTCCTGCTCTTACTCTCTCTCTTTTGTAAACTCTCTCATCATGCTTAGGACAATAGTATGTTATAGATTAAACTAATGAATAGACTTTGCTTTGGTGATTTCCCCATCAAACATAGATGTCTTACCTATGTCCTCAAGCTTGAGATCAGCAAAATGAGATGCAAGGAGTCCAAAACATTTGCCTCCTCTTCAAAGTCAAGAGATGCCTAGTTGTAGAGGAATTACCAATATTAGGGAGCATCTGTACCACATTATCTACAATTTCATCCATCAATCCACACAAATAAGTGCCAACATGTGATATGTCTAATGAATCAATAGATTTAACAAAAACAATACCTTAAGGAGTCGTAGACTTACCATCAGACCGCCATTACACATGATGGTCACCCCATACGTCTCCCGCCCTTCTTCTTGAGAAGTCAAAATATGTTTCACATCCTTTATGCATCATTCAAAAGAAGCTTCCTGAGCTCATGAAATGAAGGGGATTCGGACCTTGAGTCAAACTGCTCAATTGCCCCAACCATAACCTTGAAGCTATCAATGCTCTCTCTATTGAAAGGAATACCAGCTAGATAAAACCACTTGGCAACGTATTTACCAACCTTATGTCTCTCTTCTTTCTTGTATCTATTCTTAAGCGTGATTTGTTTTGTTTTCTTCTTCCTGTCCTCGACCATAACTTTGGGGTTAAGGGTACAAATAGCATCGATTGGTCCCTTAGGGAGAGATTTGATATGAATCTCCACTGATATTTACAACCCTCTCCCTTACAATTCTACACCCACTTCCAACTTTGGAGTTTGCATCTTCTACATCATCATCACACATACAAATATCATCTAACAATTCTTTTTATTTTATTTTTTCTCTTCTATTTTTCTTTTTAAGGGCATCCAAATATGCCCTAATCTCACCCATTACTTGAGGGCATGCCCTCACATTCCCGATAATTCCGACAAGATGTCGTTTTTACGAGAAAATTCCCCCAATATATGTTTTCTGACATAGCTTACGAAAAACACTATTTTGATCCTTTGCACTGGTGTATCTTGAATACTTCAATACCGGATCTTTGTTGCTTGATGAAGAAGACATTATTTTAAAAAAGAAAGTAATAGTTGATGGAACTTACCAAAAATAATGACCCAAGATTCCGAACCCTAAATCAAAAGAAATTTCAATTTCTTGGATACAATTTCCTAGGCTTTAAATCCTTCGAATACTTGTTGAATTTTTACCATAAGACCATCAAAATGAATCTTCAAAACAATATCAATCAATCGACCAAAGATTCAAGAACGAATCCTGAATTCTTTTCAAAATTTTTGGAAGCACAAATAAATTTTTAATCCTTTTTTCCTTTTTCATTTTATTTGAATCCCCTTAGAATCATGGAAACATGGTTCTAAGGGCTTTTAGGGGGGTCATATACCCCCCAAATTGTTTGGACCCCATGTCCGTTCTGAAAGGATAACTAGTTTGCCCAAGCTCGTGGAAAAATTTCCATCCACGAGACATGGCCACATATGTGATGTGACCCATATGTGGTAGATGTGCCGCATATGAGGCCGCATCATGAAAACCCATATATATGGGTGTGGGAGATGCACCCATGGCTGCATACTGCATTATGCCATTTCTCTAAGTAAAACCTCTTGCAACCAACCTCGTGTTGTATCTTTCAATTGTGCCTTGTATTTCATGGTAAACACCCACTTGCATCCCACCACCTTCTTTCCCTTAGGAAGTTTAGTGATCTCCAAAGTGTTATTCCTTTCAAGAACTTGTATTTTCCCCCACGTCATAGCCTTCCACTGAGGTTGCGATAAAGCCTCAATTACGCTGGATGGAATATTAACAGTAGACATGGATTATAGGAAAACATGATAGGAAGGGGATACGACATTATAAGAAACAAAGTTATTGGATTTTGTGTACATGATCTTATCTTACGTAATACAATCAATAGGTCAATATCTGACACGGGGAATGGATTAGAAGGTGAATAAATACTAGGATGTGAAGGATTATAACTTGGCTCCAGAATGACACCAGAGTCATGATCGTTCTGAACTTCATGTCATACCAACTTCTTCCTTCTAACATAAGTCTTCAACTCTTTTTCCTTGATTGCAAATGGTATATTCCCATCTTCATTTTGAGGCATCTCAAAAACTTCAGAAATAAAGGGAGTTGGAGTTGGAGTTGGAGTTGCAGTAGATAAAGGTAGTGGCATAAGATTTCTCTCTTCCTGACTACTGTGCTCTCCTTGAAGAGAGCATCACTATCCAAGACGAGAGAAATATGAAAAACACTCAAAAAACTAAACAGATCTATAATTGTGTTTGGATGTTATTTTCCTCTCTTTCTTCTCAAACATAGCAGATCTATAGTTGTTTTTTTTATTTCAAATATTATTTACATATAGTTCTCTTATGAGATCATCTCTCAAGTGAACCATGATCTCGAGTAACATTAGATCTATCGATATGTGCAAGGCACTTCTATCTTCACAGAAGAATATAGGTATAACTCATATGAAACGAATGATGCACACTCAAACAAGCAGATAAGTTAGCTTGAATGTAATGGCTCAGAAACAATGTGGAATGTGATTGTGCTTCTCTACTTCCTGATAAATTTGTGTAACTATTTTGAATTTTGAAGTTATTACCCTTGCATTCTAACCTTTATATTTGTATAAAAAAGTTACTTAAAATAGAATAAGTTATTAGATAAACATGTAACACAGACATCTTTCAAGTTATTAAATAATATTTATCATAAACTACACATATATAAATACAACATGAAATATACATACACACATGTATTATATACAAATATAAATGCATCATACGTACAAACCTAAATGCACATACATACTTCTATATGTATATGTTCATACATAAACTTAGCTCTGTTATAATGCCTTTTATGGATCAATTTTCAGAATCAATAGTGGGTGTGACCATGATTCTCTGGTTTGAAGCTTTTGCGTCCTCTTGCACAGTCATCTAGGGTTCCAAATAATGTTCGTAAAATCGAACCAGAACGGTTAACCGGACATGGGGCCAAAAGCGGTTTAACCGGTCTAACTGGTAAACCGGTCGATTCAACCGTTCTAACCGCGCAAGTCTCGGGCGGCCAAAAAATTGTTGAAAAAAATAAAAAAGGTAGAATAAAATATGAAAATCATGTAAAGAATGATTAAAAAAAAACGCATTCAAATGACATTGAAAGTTAATGAAAAATTGAATTTTGAACGTGAGTATTAATGACCAAAACAATTTTTAAATTTTTTCATAATATAAAAATATTAAAAAATGTATATCAAATCAAATTTCTTATTTTTTGGATGTTATAAACATTTTTTTGAATTTTTATTTTCAAAATACCAGCCGATCACCAAAACCGCCCGAAACCAAAACCGTAAAGGGCCGGTTCCAATCTAACTGGGCGGTTACCAATTAGACCGGCCGGTTTTTCTAACAATGGTTCCAAACCCTCTTCCATTCAACAAATGTAGTGCATACCTATTGCACAATCACTAAGATCAAAGTATCAAAGCACCTAACCCTATTTCATCGTTGACAAGAAGAACTATTTCTTGCCTTCTTTCCTAAAACTATATTTTATTATCACTCTTTGTTACAAAAAATATGAAATATGGACTCCTCAAGATTTCAAATTGTTAAGGATAAAATGACAGATTTTTCCTTGGAAAAGAGTCAGAGAAATCTTGCAGTGATCAGAAAAGTTAAAAAAAAAAAACAAAAAAACAAAAAACAAAAACAGAATGCTAGCCAAAGCAAAAAAATTATGAAGTATGACACTATGGCTGCATTCTATAAATTGAAGAAAAAAAGATATAATCAAATCATAAGGGTATAACACAACAAACAATCTTTTAAGATTGCTAATTAATTTGTATTGTGTATCTAGAAGGAAATAAATTACTTCCGCCATTCAATCCAGATTCCGGTAGCTTTAAACAAACCATTCTATTGAATTATAATACTACAATAATTGGGAGTACCTATTATTGCCATTGGTAATTAACAGATTGGTAGAAGGAAATTAACAAAAAATTTCAGCATATTGACTGCTGGCTTCATTCCACCACTTCGTAGTTTTAGAGTCACATAATTCTCTTTTGACTTCCAATGATATCACAGTCATGTCTCCAGCAAAATAAAACCATTATTATTGTAGTTTTCGGCAGTTCTGGATAGAAGAACTCTAGACTGATACTCTCCAAAATATATATAGAGAGACAAAGACCGATACATTACTTCAGTGCAAACTATCAAACCAGTTGAGGTACCTTGTTTCAAATATCACTTCCTATGCACATCGCAAAGACAGTTCTGCAATCAAAACAAATGCCTTCTATTAAGCCACTCATATCTTCCACTATCAAAATAATGATATAGATTTGAAACATGCGCATTTCACATTGAAGCATCAGCTTCAACTATAATAAAGTGTATATAGCACTGCAATGAAAGGAGACTCAGAATTGTGTGCCACTTCATGCAGACAAGAGAAGCAACTCAAAAGTACTAAACTGGGAACAACGAATTCAAATAGCTCTCAGTGCTGCACAAGGTATGCAAGAACAATTAGTATCAATTGTTTTCCTCCTTTCCTTGATTTCAATTACTTAACAAGTTCTTTGATTTGTAGGATTGGAGTACCTACATTATGGATGCAAACCGCCAATTGTTCACAGAGATATCAAGACATCCAACATCCTTTTAAATGAGAAATTCGAAGCCAAATTAGCAGATTTTGGGTTGTCCAGATTCGGGCCAAAAGAAGGAGATACTCATATATCAACTACTGTTATGGGCACACTGGGATATGTGGATCCTGAGTATTGCAGCATGTCCTTTAGTTTTCCTTCCAGTCTACGAGTTTTGGCCTCACTATTCTCTCAACCAACCAAAATCAATCAACCAAAAGGACACATTCTATGCCAATTTTTCCTCATCAATTTCATCTGTCCCCCTTTAAACTCTAGCCATCCTTGCTGCTTTTTCTGAGGGAAAAACATATTTTATCCAATAAAGAGGGAAAAAATAACCTGAAACGTTTTAGTGTATGTTCTTTCAGCCTCTGTAATCAAACAAAACCATGCTTGAAAGTACACTATATTTCTTTTATCTCATCCATTCCATCTAGAAGCTATAGGGTCATGTGCTTTCCTATAATTCAAGTAACTCTATTCAACTAAATAAAAGGGGAAGGAGAACAGGAATTACGGACACATTGGAACCTTACTTACCATTTTCTTAGATTATCTTCTTTTTCTAATTTTTTAGAATCTGAAGCTTTTTCCCAGAATATCTGAAATTGTGGAGAGCTATTCTTCACCAATTTTGCTTTCCTACATGAGCAATATACAGTTTCCAGTTGGTTGTCTGAGTGATGGTTTGGTTTTCCTTTTTTATTCCCTTTCATTTCTACGATGCAAACATAGGGCCTATCGAGAGTAGCCGACAAAGAAAAATGATGTATATAAGACCAATATTTTGCATGGATTCTTCTTCTCATATTACTTGAACTTGAAATGTATTTATTTTTCAATATGTGAAATATTAGCTAAACTAACTTCTATAAAATTGCAGGTATTACATTACCAACCAGCTAAATGTGAAGAGTGATGTTTATAGCTTTGGGATAGTTCTTTTAGAAATTATCTCAGGTCAGCCGGCAATAATTAAGGAGGAAGAAGCAATTCATATAGTACAATGGGTAACTCCCAAGGTTGTAAGAGGGGATATTGAAAGTGTGATGGATCCACAGTTGCAAGGCGAGTATGACATTAATTCTGCATGGAAAGCTGCAGAGATAGCACTGGCATGTACATCGCAGTCTGCTATGCAGAGGCCCACCATGAGTGATGTTATCTGTGAATTGAAGGGATGCATCGAGCTGGAGCGCTCCCATCTCAAAAGGAGAAGCTCAAGAAAGGAATCCTTCACATCAATCAGCATGGAATCAGCAATCCTGTTTCATCCTTCAACAAGGTAGTGAGCATGGCAGTTTTAGACATAAGACCAACCATTGTAGTTATTTATTTGGAGCAGCAACGAATATATACCAATGCCAGAGTTCGCAATTAAATCAACAAAACTAAGAAATGTTTTCATCAACATTTTTCTCTTATGGTTGTTCCCAATTATGAGAAGCCACAACCAATATATGCATCTTGGACACCTCATTTGAAAAGTCAACGTAGGACTTCTCATATAGTTTTTGGGTAATTAAGTGGGGGTTGTCGAGCTCCTACCTATCAGTTTTTTAAATCGTTAGTGGTTTTTGAATGCGTGAGGTAAAAATGGGGCTAGGATTGTGCGTATAGTTTGAAAATTTTTTAATGAATTAGAGAGATAACAATATGCTTATCTTTTGCATTCATTTATTTCTTATTGCCTTTTTTTCTAGGCTACCAAATATTTTGTCTACTCAAAACAATGAGACAACCAGAGGCTCTAAGCAATCCAAAACAAATCCCAGTTACAACCAATGACTTGGCCTAAGCAACAGGATTGGCTTACGGCTCAGGCCAATCCAGGGTTGGCTTGGCCTGATGCTGCCGCCTGTGGGATGGCTTGGCCAATCCTGCATCAGGCCAAGCCAATCCAGGATTGGTTTAGCGCTTAGGCCAATCCTGGATTGGCTTAGTCATTGGTTGTAATTGGTAGAAGTCCTAAGCAACAGGATTAGCTTGGCCTGATGTCGCCTCATGTGGGATGGTAGAAGCCCTAACCTGATTTTCCCTAACCTGCATAATGATAGCAACTGGTTAGGGGAGAAAGGCAGGTCGCTCCCTGTTATTTATGAGATGAGAAATGCGATGGATGGATGCTTTGCAAGGTAAAGGCATGTTAAACCCCCAAGGCGCGCTGGAACCGTGTGCGTGAGTTGAGGATATTACAAAGTGGGTTAACCCACTTGTCATTACCCTCCCTCCTGTGGGACGCTAGAAGCCCTAAGCAATAGGATTGGCTTGGCCCGATGGATAGGGATTCTATTAGCAGGAGTAGGTGAATTAGGGAGTGAGTATGTAATGGGTAAATTGTGATTGTGATTTCTTATAACTAGAATGACAGCATGATATGTCTAAATGGACGCACTATCCTTTGGATACCATGTCTATAATTAATGCACTGTTACTTGGATATCATGTTTATAATTGATGTACTGACCTGATGACCAATTTACAGGACTACTGCACTGCCATTGATTATGTTCAAATAAATTATTTATTTATCTTGGATAGACTTGTTACTAATGCATAACACTAGGTCTGCTTACTGAGCATCAAAGCTCATTCCATTATTCTTTCCCTCCCTGTAGACTGAGGGTAGTATGTTCGGAGTGGTTGCAGCCAAGGATCAAGGCCGCCACTCAGAGGAGGAGTTTTAGATCTTGTAGGTTGTCGGGCTCTTAGCCCTGATTGTACTATTTTCTTTAATTATGTAACTTTGGGCTTGGAGCCCTGCTTTTGGATGTAATCTAATGTACCATCCTTTTGGAGAATGGTTTGACCAAGTTTTAAATTCTAGACTTATGTAAGCCTTTACTTTCCTTGGTTTGCTCGATTACCGAGAAAGAAGCATTGAATCCACTCTTACCTGAGAGACAAACGCTACAAGGGGATCACGAACCCGTGGTCGGTAGCCCTCTGTCAGGGTAAGGTGGGACAGACGGGGGTGGAGTCGTGACAATTATGGTATCAGAGCAGTCAGGTTAGGGTCTTTGGCCTAGGGAGTTTAGGAGGGGAGTCTTTAGAATAGCTTTGGGGTAAACAAGTGATTGGGTGCTCCTATGGTTAGGTTGAAGATGCTGAGAGCTTGTACCCACAATGAGAGTTCCAACAATGAGAACATCGAGGCACTCAATGAATTCTATAAGACTTTGGGGCCATGACTCAGATGATGAAAGAGTCGATGCCATTTCAGTCCACCCCTACCTTAAAGCAGAACGATAGTATCTTGATTGAGAGGTTTAGAAGGCTAGCGCCCCTAACCTTTCTGAGGCAAGGAAGAGTAGAGAAGGCCAAAAGATGGAAGAGGCATATAGAGAAGTTTTTGGAAGTGTTGCAATGCTCAGATGAGCAAAAAGTTAGACTTGGGACATTCATGCTAGATGGAGAAGCCGAGCACTGGTGCGATTCCGTTGATGATGTTTTATTGGCGGCAGGGCAGTGGAAGATTTGATCGTGATGCTTCGAAAGTGGTGTTGGGAGGCGAGGCGTCGAAAGGCTTAAATGGCAATCAAACGAGGTGCCATTGTGATGACATGTGTCTTTGTTGTTGGACGACGTGCTGCTTGGGAAGCGACGAGCTTTGATGATGGGCCTATGACTTCTTTAAAAAGAGCTTAGGCCAGAGAGCATAAGGGCAGCTCTTCCCTTTGTCTTTGCAAAGTTCTTGGTTTGCAACTCCTATTGGTGGAGGACGAACGAAAAATTTTCTTTCTTGTGTGTTTCACCGGGAGGCCATGTCCTATGTTGGGGATGGCTAACAGGTCCCTGCTTTGGGGGTGCGTTCGAGCATTAGGCGTCTCGGTGAAGATGTTCAATCCAGCAGAAGGTGGCAGTGGATTCGTGCTAGATGACGGGCCCGTGGGTTCAGGGCCCCTCTGTTTGTACGGAATCCGTAGCTCAAGGTCCAAGGCTGTGTGTAAATGCTTGGAACAACCTTTGCTACTGCCGGCGAAGCATTGTGCTCAGGCCTTCAGCGTAGGCTTGGTCTTCTAACTGACTCCTGGTTCTTCACCTTAGCTTCATGGTGGGAAGCAGAGAGCAGATTCTTCCTGGGCATTTCAAGCTCTGTTTGGAGCGAAGAATTCTACCCTTTTGAAGAGAGAAGACACACCTGCCCTGAGGAAATAGAGGCGCTCCTTGGGGAGCAGCATCCGAGGATGATGACTTATTTTAGAACCGCCTGGTTTTGTAGGGAATTACAGATTCAATGTAAACATACTTGTATCCCTTTTGGGTTCATGAAATAAAATCTTCTCTTTGGTTTGTATCTTTGCTCCCGCTCTGTGCTCCACGATTTTTTTTTGTTTTGTTTTAGGAATTAGATCACACGTTGTATTTGGGAGTCATGTAGTGTGGGTAACCCTGCGGAGCAATTTATCGTTGTGCGGTCAAGACGTGTGCTATAGTCTAAGGTCGTATAACTTGGACCGACCCGTGAAGTAGTTTAACGTCACGTGGCCAGGACGTGCGCCTTTCGTGAATGCTCTTATCTTGGTGGATCTGTCAAGGGCTTTTTGCATGTGACTCTTGTGGATCTCAAGGCTCTGTAGCGCTTGTAACCTTTTTTCATCGAGTATGCCTAGCTCTTGGCAACGAAGCGCAGCCCATTCTTTGTCTATCATCCCGTAGTGGAGGGCTACCCTAAGGGAAGGCAATTGAATTTCCAGTGGTAACACAGCCTCGCCCACATACACTAGCGCGTATGGGGTCGACTGTGTTGGGCCTCGGGTTGTGATGTAGTAAGCTTAGAGAATTTCTGAAAGCTTCTCGTGCCAATCTCTCTTGGTGTCAGAGACAGATTTCCTTAAGGCATCACATAGAGTCTTGGTGAATGCCTCGACGAGGCTATTAGCTCTTGGGTGATACATGGTCGAGTATTTCCACGTGAACCTTAATTTCTCAACTAGCCTGTCAATTTAGCTACTTCGGAATTGGGGCATGTTATCAGAGATGATTCGATCGGGAACGTCGAACTGATATATGATATGGTGACTCACAAAGTCAGCCACTACAGTGTCGGGGACCTTCTTAAGAGGAATCGCCTTGGCTCATTTGGAAAAATAATCCATTGCAGCGAGTATGAACACGTGCCTCGAGGAAGACGGCAAGTCGATGGGACCTACAAGATCCATGCCCCATTATGTGAAGGGCCAAGACACCACCGTTGGGAGGCGGGGGTTTTGGTGGCTGATGAATGAAGTTCGCTATTTGATTTCCTCTGTTGTTTGATTTGACTATTAGGTTATCCACCTAGCATTCGACCTTTTCGTGGAGCATGTCCTCAAAGATAGTAGTCATAGCCCTTTGGTAGGTGGCCTCGACGTTTTTGAGGCCGAAGGGCATTATCGTACAGGAAAAGACTCCTTTCAAGGTTAGAAAGGTCGTGGATACTTCGTCCTCCTGGCCCATCTTTACCTGGTTGTAGCTGGAATAACCATCAATAAAGGAGAAGGCTTGACAATTAGTGGCCAAGTCGATCAAGAGTTTTGTGAAGGGGAGTGGGAAGTTCAATTTTGGGTAGAATACGTTTAGATCCCAAAAGTCAATACAGACCCTGATCTGTCCGTTCTTCTTTTTTACGGGTACAATGTTAGCCAACCACTTCGGGTATTTGACTTCCCAAATGAAGCGTGCCACTTTAAGTTTGTCCACCTCCGCCTCGATTTGAATTTCCAGGTCGGCCCTGAATCTCCTTGGTTTTTGCTTGACCTGCTTACATGTTAGGTCAATCCCCAACCTGTGGGCTGCTACACGCAGATCAAGGCCGAGAATTTCCTCATAATGCCAGGTGACAGTCGGCCCTCAAGAACTACGTATACTCTTGTTTTTCTTTGGGGGACATGACGACGGAGATGAAAGTGGGTCTTGAGTCGGTTTGTTCATCCAAGTATATTTCCTCCAAGTCGTCCGAAAAGGCCTGCCTACCATCTTTTAGGACATCTGGGGCTTCCTCTATTTCCTCATCATTAAGAGGTAATGAATCTTTGATGAGAGCATACACCTCCAGTGTTTCGGGTTCCACAGACTCCTGCTCGGCTTGGTCGATTTATGTCCTTGCTTGGGGGCCCTGAGTGGACGCTTCCTCAGGAACAAACTTTCAAGGGGATGACGGTGATTCTTGAGACACCGTTACATGGATGACTTTCTCAGCAGGGAAAAGACATGGTGGGAGGCTTGGTAGTCCTGGGTAATCAAGGCCTTCCTTTTGATGGTGTTGAGACGATGCGGCCTTGATTATGGCAAAGGGGGCAAGCATTCCTTTATCGTCATTCAGTCCCTGATTGCCAGATGGGTCGTAGTCCATTTTCTTCATAATTTAGTGAGCCTCCGGGCTGTATAGGTCCTACCTAGGCTTGATCGCGGCTACTAGCAAAGGGTCACTTTGTGGATTTGTCCGGATAGATGTCTCCCGAGTTCCAACACGAAAACTGGTAATGGAGCGGAGGAGATTTCAAAGGGACAGCTCCCTTCGTCTTGG